CCTCCAGGCACTTACCACTCGAACAGGCAATCTGACCAGGTCTGCCCGGCACCGGATTTTGAGTGGTAAGACACGAGGGCTCTCTGGAAGGATGGGGCCCTCTACCAGGACCACATCATCTTCTTGGCTCTGGCAGTCTTGGCCCTGGCGCTGCTTGGGGCTCAGGCAGGAACGAAGATCTTGGAGGCGCTTGTTCACTTCCCTGGAGTGCAGAGAGGAACTGGGGTCAACCACCCTCCCGGACTGTCCCTCTGCCCCATCACAGACCCCTGCCCTTGCACCTTAACTTCCGGAGGGCCCTCGTATGCTTCCTGCTTTTGATCCTTGGTGGAGGTGAAGGCGAAGGAGACGTGTCCTGGAACCTGCAGAGAGGAGAAGAGCAGGATGGAGGCAGAGGAGAGACTCCAGCCTCACACCTCTCATTATGGGATAGGAGCCCGAGGAAAAGCTGGGGCATCTTACAGTAGCATCTGTTTTACTGGAAGACAGGAACAGATGCAGGACAAAGAAGACACAAGTTAACGTTTTTATATTTACATGACTCAAATATTAGGGAAGAAAATTTTTAAGGTCACATCCCAGGTTAATGTCTGTCTGAGTTCTCTAGTGCTACCATAACAGAAGTATTACCCACCCATGTTATGGATGGCTGAAAAGTCTGGATTCAGAGTGGCTGCTCTAGGGGCTGGGTGAAGGGCCCTCAACCTTGGGCTTCAGTTCTGCCTCCTGTTCCAGGCCCACCGGAGCTGGAGGCTTCTTCTGACTCACGCAGCCATGGACTGTGAGGCTGACTAACCCGAGGTTGGCAGGAAAATGGCAAAATCCCAAGATCAGCAGGTAACACGGCAGGTCACTGGTTTAAGTCCAGGAACATACCAAGATCAGCAAGCAACACGGCCCAAAATATGCCAAAGAGCTAGAGACCATCTTCAAAGCGTCTCCACATATACTGGAAGCAGGCCACCCCAGAAGGCAACTAATTAGATGCTCACAGCAGATGCTACCATGGAGGTGATTACAAACTCATCATGGGCAATAACTACATCCAGCTGCCAAACCACTCAAAACATGGCCCAGCCAAGCTGACACACAACCTTAACCACCACAATATCCAATAACATCCAACAAATATGGAGGATGTACTACTATGTGCCAAGTATCAAGTCAGGCATCTCTCAGCAATTCTCTAACCCATAGGTACTGCTATCATCCTCATTTAACAGAAGAAGAAACAGAAGCCCAGAGAGACAAGAGACGGCTGGCAGGACTGGAAACACACAGACGGTACCCAGAGCTACACTGTTAACACTAGACATGAAGATGAAACACTCCACTCGTCTTGAAGGGCTCACTGTCACCCTCCAGGGCAGGCCACCACCTCTCCCAAGAGCCAGATTCCTCTAAGTCTCAAGACTCCCTGTATCCCCTCTCCTTACCCTTCTAGTACCCACCCAAGGGTCTACCCCTCTCAGTCTTCCCCTCCAACCCTCTTCCTGCTCCTAGGGCCCAAGTGCCCCGCTTCACTCACAGATACATGTTCTCGTTCTTCTTCTCTTCTTCATCCTTACCCCTCAGCCTCTTCTTCCAGGATAAACCTGGAAATGGGGGTTCCTCAGGTTGGGAGCTGCTGGAATCTGCCATTTCCACATCTGAGACAGAGG